GTAAATACCTAGCATATATACAATAAAGACATGCCATGCTGACCTGACTGCGGGTTAAAATATATATATATATATATTATTGATCATTGGAATTAAAAACTTTTCTTAGATTAATACATTGTTTCTATTTTTTTTAATTAAATAAAATATTTTAATTTATAAGATTAATAAAATTCAAATAATAAGTTATTATATAATAAAAAATAATAATTATAAAGTTAAAATTGTTTTATTCTTATTATTCTAGTTAAACAAAGTTTTTAATAATAGTTTATTAGATTATAATAATAAGTCTTTAGATTAATATATTACAAATATTTTTAATAAAAAAGTTTAACAGATAATATAAATAAAAGATAAGTTTTGCAGATAATTAAGAAAAAAAAATCTATTGAAAAAAAATTTCAAATAAATATATTTTTTTTAATTAGGCTAAATAATATATTTTTTTATTTTATTTTATTTTTATTTTATTATAACATACACATATATTTTTAAATATATATTTTTTCTCATCTTAAATTTACTTTTTTTTGTAATTTTCTACTATACAATAACTTAATAAGATGGCAACTTGTCAACTATAATATTTAAAATCTATTACAAAACAAAATACTGTATTATTTTCAAGATTAAAATTAAAACTTTTAATACTTATAAGTTTGTTATATGTAGAATATAAATGTCTAGTACTTCTATATTCTTGGGGTAATTATTTTCGAAGGCGGACAGGGATTTTTCTGACTTTACAATTGTACTCTTGGAATTTATATCGTATATGTATCATTCAAAAAATGGGGACCAAAAAATCGATTATATTTTCAAAAATAATTATCCATCTATTAATCACTTGTATAACCGTATAATATCTGAATAGCGAAAAAATTAATCTCTCAACACATAGGTAGATAGTACCGTATTTTGTTTAAATACATGCAAATACGAATCGTTCCTAAATAAGGGCAAGATTAACAATTCTTTTTTTTCTCGGAAATCAAAACCCGTATGATATAAATGTATTTACATATTCGTGAATTTGCATTCACGCTCAACCCGTTTTACCCGAAACAATGCCAGATGATAAAAATAGTGAGGAGGTTTCAATGGAAAATGGAGATGAAGGTTCTGCGGATGAAGTGAGGAATGGAAGTTGTAATGTTGCGGATGAGGTGAGAAATGGAGGTGAAGATGTTGCGGAAAAGGTGAAACATGGAGACGGGTATGCTGCGGATAAAGTAGGAATTTCTGCAAATGAGGATGATGTATACCAGATTCCAAGCGCAATCGATACAGTGATGGCGCAAACGATCGATGTTTTGGGCAGCGCCGCAGATGCGATAAAGCCGTTTCTGCCATTCTTCGAAATCATCACGAGTGTTTCGAAGTCTGTTCTTAGCTCCTACGAGGGTTCTCAGTATAACAGGAGAACATGTGGTGTGTTGCTTACTCGTGTCGAAACCGCCGAATGTGCAGTGAAATCTTTGGTCCGTCAAAAAGAGGAACGTATCAGCGATTTTCGAAGTCAAGACTTTTATAATTCGTTTGTAAGGTTCGCTCGGGTTATGGAAAAAATTCAAAAATTCGTTGAGAACATTTCTCAACTTTCTAAATTTAGAAGGTTCATTAGTAACCAAGCAATCAAGGACAATTTGAAGGCAATATTAAAGGACTTCGATGCATGTGCAAACGACTTGCATCTATCGATCTCAATCAACATCAAAGATCAAACTAGAAAGGACTTGGAAATTCTTCACAGCGACCTTGAACAAATGGCTCAGGTATATTCATCTTGTGCTACATTTAAACAAGAAGGCACACTAACGTATGGCTTTCCGATCTTTTCTAGTTTTTGGAAAACATCGACCTTCACGTGACCGACCTCATGAGGAAAGTGGATTCCAATCAAGAATACAACGAAAAAATGATGGCCATACTTAACAACACGTGTGAACAAGTTAGCATGATAAATTCCAAAATTAAAAAAAAAGTGAGGTATCAGGCAAAGCAAATCTTACTTGAAGAGCTCACAGGTTCTAGCGATACCAATGGGAGACGCGGCCATATTGTTAAGAAAATTTACAAAGGAATGGATGTGGCCTGCAAAAAAGTGACCGTAGAGACGGAGAACAAGGAAGAAGTTGAAAGGTTCGAGTCGCAGTTAGCCATTCTCGAAAAGTTGCATCATTGTGACTACATCATCAGATTTTATGGAATCTTGAATTCGAGCGATGATGAAAAAATCATGGTTTACGAGTGGTCTGAGAATGGCAACTTGAGAGAGGCCTATGAGAAGTATAACATTCCGTGGGGTAAAAAGCTCAATATCGCATTGGGCATCTGTCGAGGGTTGGTCTTCTTGAATGCCACAAAAATTTATCATCACGACATCCGCTGTGAAAATATTCTTGTATGGTCTATTGATGTGATCTGTATTCTGTTTGAACAATTTTATTATGCAATTAATTTTTTCTACCACCTCAGATGACCTCCCAATGGGAACCAAAGATTGCGAATTTTAAAATTTCGAGATGGGTCAGTGCGAAGACCAAAAAGTACATAGATCCAATTGCTTCACTCAACTGGATGGCACCGGAAAAGATAAAGGGACTTAATAATCCAGACAAAAACCGGTATACGGCAGGTTGCGAGATATTTAGGTAAAATTGAATTATGCGGAGATGCATTGAATTCAGCCTTATTGATTATTGCTTTGCTGTTCATTTTTCTTTTCCCCATAACCAAACTAGTTTTGGAATGCTACTATGGGAACTTAAATATGAAAGAAAACCTTATAAAGATATGTCAATAAGCGAACTGGTGGCCCATGTAACCTCGGGGAAAAGAGAAGAGCTGAATTATGAACTATTGCCACACGGCGACGATAAGAAATATGTCGAAATCATTCGTTTAGGTGAATACTTTTGATAGGGTTCATATTCAAGAAACCCATTTTTGACCATTTGTCTTGTTATATGCATCTAGCATGGGAACACGATCAACTTTATCGCATAGAAATGGCTACCTTATTTAAGAGCATGTTAGATCTTAACCACGAGTACCGACAAATTTCCAAATTCGAAAGTATCATCACTCCCAAGGAGAGAAGCTCAAGTACCGAGAACACAGCGGGGAAATGTGTACGTAATTTCAACAATGCGCACTCCTTCATTAAAATAATTCCTCCTGTGGATGACGGAATTAAAGCACACGACTGCGGGAACTATGAAGAGGCATGGAATATATTTGAGTCTAACTCTGGTCTAGGCAATAGTACAGCGAGATTCTGGGTTGGTAAATTTTACTGGAATGGGATTTTCGTTGAAGAAGATAAAGAGAAAGCGCTCGAATATTATGAGGCGGCGGCCAACGATGGAAATTCGGAAGCACAATATACATACGCCATGTCGCTGATGGACGTGCATAAAGCGCAGTCGGTTAAGAAGAAGGTCCCGATTATCAAGAATTTGAAGATGGCGGCCGCAAATGGTCACGCGAAAGCTCTAAATGCGTTGGGAAACATTTATTTGAACGGGAAGTTGCAAACCACGGTGGACGAAAAACTGGCCATAGAGTATTATAAGCTGGCCGCGTTGAAAAATCATGAGGATGCGATTAATACATTAAAGGAGATGAACATTGATATGTATGAATAGCATTTTTCTTTTTTTAAAAAAAAAAATATGAATTTTGTATATATATATATATAAATAATTAAATTAACAATTTTACTGTACGAGTTTTGAATCTAGAACTTTTTTTTTTTGAAATACATTTTAACGCTCCCTAGTTATTGTTCGCCCTTTACTCTATTCATCATCACCTTCGTGTCCGCCTTTAGCGTCGATCTCAAAATCTTTTGCACAATGTTTAAACATCCAACATAATCCAAATAAAATATGCCCTAATAATAAGAACCCAAACGATATATGAATCCATGCAACGCTGCTGATCTCCCTGTCCTCTTTGTTCACACCAAGCATCCAACTACAACCAAATAACATTGAAACTCCAATATTTGTCAGTATTGATTTGACGCTCACTGACGAGATGCTTAGTACAGAATGTTTCCAAATTCTAGAATCCCCAAAGAACATTATTGGATTCCCAAGAAGATTCTCAAGCCTAGAAGTTATCGAGTCTCGAAGAGACAATATTATTATCGGCGAATCTAGAATATCTATTATGGATGATGACCTTGTAAATAAACTGTCCGTGATTAACTTATGCGCCGTTATTAGTAATGAAAGTGTGAAAAATAATGTCCTATTGTTGTGGTTTTTTATTTTGCAGTTGTAAAACGATGTCCGCAGGAAGACGGAAAAAATAGGAACATTAGTAGAGAGAATAAGGTAGATCTTGATTAGGAAAAAATGAGAAACGCTTCACGAAGACTCACATCATCACAAACATTCCGCCGACACTGGCTCGCCCCTATAAAACGAATGAGTGTAATCATGAGTATGGAAGAAGAGGAGAGTTTTGTAAGTAAGGTCATTGGATAAGCATAATACTATCCAAAAATTGGCTTGTTCCGTCATTATTCCTCTCAAAACAAAACAGAAGAAAGCGATATAAGCAACAAGAGAAGAAATGATATCTGTATCAACATCATTTTCATTTAATATTCTCAATCAATAATCAACTCATTCAAAATGATAATCGGGACTAATCTCTTCAATATCAAAATCCGCAAACAGAAAAACGTACAAATATATATCAATAATGCGAACGAGTTATAAATATAAAATGAACAGTAAACATATGCATGATACGTAAAGTGGATGGACATCTGTCTAAGAAATTTGAATACATACATACATACATACATACATACATACATACATATATATATATATATATATATATATACGGTATATACAGTATTCACTCAAAAGTCAAGTGCCATCATTCCATTTTTAATAAACACTCGCATCCCATAAAACGAAGTTTTTCTCGACATCAAGGTCATTCCATTCTTACTCCTTGTAATACCATCCCCATCTCCATCATTACAAAGGAAGACAAATGAAAATGAAACTCACGACACCAAAAATAATCCAAATTTTTCTTGAAAAGTAATAGAATTGAAAAAAAAGAAACCTTTCAAATAATAACGAATTAAAATAATCACTCATGCATGTTTCGTTTGAATTACCTTAATCTTATATCGACATCCATCTTGCGAAGCCTTCGCCTCCATCCTTTTCTCGCTACCATCCGCTCTCGTTTCAATCGCCTCCTTGCACCTCGCCGTTGTTACCCCGCAATCCATCCTTTTGCCAAGATCATTTTCTCTAGTCAATAATAAAGGTGTCGACAAGTTATTGATCGCGCAACCGTAGCCGTTGACTCGGAAGTTGTTACGGTTGTCCTCTCCTACTCCCGTGTCGATCATTTTTTCATTTTCCATAGTCTGATCCTCACTCTCACCGGTCCATTCGGAATCTTTGGTAGGTTCTGATGGGTTTTTCGTATGACAAATTCTATTGTTCCAACTATTATCAATAACATTTATATCAGCCCGTCTTTGCACGCTCGACAACATTGTATCCACTCGTTTTGTAACCTCCCGTTCAACTTTTCTCTCTAACTCGATCCGGAAGCCTCTCTGTATTCTTTCAAGCTCCAACTTCATTTCTTTCCTTAAATTATCATTTTCCAGTATCGATTTGTCAGCCAATGATTTTAACCTTGCATTTTCAATTTTTGCACGCTCATATTCCAAGCTTAATTTGGAATTCTCGTCTTTTAAATCCTTATTCACAGATTTCAATATCCCATTCTCATTATTCAACCTTCCTAACTCATTGATGAAATCTGCCATCTGCGGATTAGATTCTTCCAATAACCTTAACTGAGACCCCGAAGCATTGATTGTATCTTTCGTTTGTTGGTTTGGGATGTCCAAGGCTCCACTCTTGTGGCTCATCTTCACATTGGATCTCGCAACAT